GGTTTTGCACTAGCCATTCTTCCCCCTCTTCAAGTCGAATAAGCCCATCTCTTTCTTCAGTTTGCTGAAGCCATTTTCCTAGTGTCCTTAATCATCCTTTTTTAAATCATATCTGTTTTCTTTACACACCCAATCATCCTTGTATTTTTCTTTCTTCCTATTGTCCACATTACATAGTCATGTTAATCACATTCACCTTACTGTGACAAAATACCTCCACAAGTGCAATTTCTAAGAGAAAAATGTTTACTTTGGTTCACATTTTCAAAGGGTCTCAGACGATCTGGTGGGGGAAGGCATGGCGGACTTTGTGACAGGGAACCCTATGGCAGAGGTTCATGACAGACTCAAAAGAAGAGTGGACAGAAGTAAAAGCTGGGCTATAGCCTTCAAAGGCCTAAATCTAGTAATTTCCTTTTATAAAACAAGTCTCAATTCTTAAAGGTTCTGCAGCAATACTAGTTAAGAAACTCGTGTTTACACTGAAAGTGTCTGTTTCATTCATTGGAAATGCAAGTTTCAAATAGCATAAACCTTTATTTTACACACTGATGTCCACATATTTGGAACAGTGTCTAGTACATAATGGTATTCAGGCTATTTAGTTGCTAAATCAATGAAATCTCCGAAGCCAGGTACCCTGAAGATATCCGAATTCAATCTCGTTTTTTCACACCTTTATATTTGACAATCTGGTTTCATATTGGTCTGAAATTTGGCATTACATATAGACACTTGATTCATTTGCTCAATTTAAATAAAATATGATTAGCTATTCAAAGTAATGTCAAGTGCAATTTTAAAAAAAAAGTGTTTATCTAGATGATGCCATGTTTTATAATTGTATAAATCATAAGGCCTGAGATTGGGGAAATTAAAGTTGTCGGGTAGTTTATGGCTAGTCCTCTCTGTGGTGACAATCGCAAAGGAAGTTGCCAAACGCACAGTGGGACATAATTTTGCCTATGTTGAAAGGCAAGACAGAAACAATCAGCTGGCTGCCGTCAACAAGGAAAAGAGGATAAATGTTGAAAACCACACCAGAAAATTAGTAAAATTGCTTATTATAATATAGTACTTTTTTTTTCCTTTTGAGTGACTACTTGGTATCTTTAGCATAATTTCCACAGCCTTAAGTGATTAATGTGGCTTCGAATTGTTCTTTCCATCTTGGGATTTTTCAACTGGCGTCATTGATGATTTTCCCTCTTCAAGAACTTTGTCACCTTGAACTAGGATAAACCTGGAGGGATGCCTGCTTAAGAGCTGGTGCCTGGAAGGGACCACTCAGAGTGTCTCAGTGCAAGAACAGCAAGAAGACCTCTGAGAAAAAGACAGGTGGTCAGCACAAAGGGGAAATAACCATTTTAAGACCCAGGGAAGGAGCATGAGATCAGAACCATGGAGCAAGACAAGATGGGAAACCAAGACAGCAAGAAAAATGCTTGAAAATTAAGGACAAGATATGTAATACAAGAAATGATATTGACATAAATAATCCAAGAGTATTTGTCCCATGAAAAGCAACATGAGATAATTATTTCCCCTGGTCTCCTCTGTGCTCCCGTCACAAGGGTATGAGGCACACGGACAAGTGAATGGCCCTGTGCAGCTGTTAGCCAAGAAGGATGTCTTCATACAGACTTCCCAGTGTGAAGGAGGAAGGGTGAGCAGGAAAATCAGAGGCTTTCAATGCAGAGAAATGAGAAAGAAGCTATAAATATGATTCCCTTTAGGCTTTTTTGAGACATGCGAGTTGTGAAGTCCCATTTGGGATGTTAGATAATAAAGACTCGGCGTTATCCTTCTGTACTGTGCTGAGTTGAATATTTAAAAGCATATTTACTATTCCTGTGAAAATTATGGTTTAACCATGAAGACAAGACATCTCCAGGAAGAGTGAAGACCTGCTAATCATTTGATTTTCTCCCACCTTTTCTACACATCATTTAAAAGTTCTTTCCTTGAAATTATTTCCAATCTCACTAATAGAGGAAATCTCTGTATTCAACGAGGAGTGTATAAGGGTACCATTACATGTATTGCTCCTTCTAGAGACTCGGACCCTCCCAACCTGCTAGCACTCTGGCACTGACTCTCCTTGGGATCCGGTGGTAAACCTAGAGGAAGAGTAAGTAAACCAGGTACAGTTGTGTGCCTTTGCCTTGAAAATCATGGATCCACGTCCCCCAAGAGACCCAGGAATGGGACTGACTTTTCAGAGCCCCTCACGACCACATGTCAGAGCCTAAGGATGGCAGAAGGGGGTAATAAAGAACTATGTTCCAAAGAGAGAGTAACAGGATGAGTATGACTGTACTACATCATGTACAAGTATAAAAATGTTGTCGTTGAGCTATGTATAATTAATACATGCCACCAAAAACACAAAATTAAAAATTTCAGCAAATTTTATAATATAAAAAGACTACCGTTACGTAATAAGCTTATAGTGTGGCTACTGTGTTTATGACAAAATATATTATGGATCTGAAATGTGTCGAGCACTGTTGTGCTAAAAATAACAGAGGCGGAAAGTGACCTCTTGGAGGTCACAACTTAGTATCAGAAATCTCCCTTCTCTCTCCTATTGAGAGAGCACTTGTTATTGTTGATTCCTTTTTAGTGGGTTTCTTAAACATACCTGTCCATCAAAAATACACCCTCTCTGTGGCCACACTCATGGAAGAAAGCTGAACTTTTTTCCCTGCCTCAGTAGATGATCTTACACCCACATGCACATGGGCAGCATTAAGCGGACTCAGTGGGTTTACAGGGAGAGGGCGGGAGAGAGAGGGAGAGAATATGAGCACATGAATTTGAATCGAGCAGGGTCGGAAGGGTTAGGGGAGGGATTGGAGGGGAGAGTTGATCAAAGTTCAATGCATGCATGTTCGAAATTCTCAATGAAAAAAGAAAAGCACAACCTCTTCCATCCCCTTGAATCAGAACCTTGGGGAACTGGATAAGCTGTCTGAGTGTTTTAGATATAGTTACAACACCTATAAGTTCCAGGCAATCACTACATTGTCAACAGCATAACACCCGAGGGAGTGGCCTATGCCCATGCACCCTTTGATTATCATGATTAGCATTGACCAAACTGTTCACCCTTGGATAATATCAAAGTGGCCCCTAATTGAGATGCAGCCAATTTACCTAATATAAACAAAGTATTGTAAAGAATAGTACTTATTTATAGACAATGGCAAACTCTGTAGTTCAGGTGTTATGCTTTGCTTTGGGGAAGAGAAACAATGAGCATTAGTTATTAGACATAGTCCACACAACTAAAACATTAATTTTAAGTAGAAAATGCAGATGAAGATATAAGAACTTTTCCCACTGAGTGTACTACCAAAAAACTATTCGCTGAAGCAGTTCTTTGTGAGTTTCCAACTGTTAATGCAGTCAATATTCAATATTAAAAAGCAACATCAGCACACTTAACAGATAATATTTGTTCAATTTATGTGATGGACACTGAGATAAGCACTTTGGGATATCAAGATGGCATGGGGGTGAGGCTGTAGCCCAGGGCCCCAGTTCAATCCCCAGTACCATGATCAAAGACAAAAATACAACTCAGTATTCAGAATATGCCTGTGAAGTGATTTTACTATCATGTCCATTTTGCAGGCGGGAAAACTGAAGCACAGAGAAGGTGAGAGGGCTGCTCAAGGTAACACAGCTGGCAAACTTAGAGACAAGCTATCGCTTCCCCCTTACTCCCTCAGAGACAAAGGAAACTCACAGGGTCCTACTCCAGAAAACAAGAGTGAGTTCTGTACAGCTTCGCTACTTTCATTTCTTAGTCTACCTCACTTTCACTGCATTCAGCAAGCACAGCAATGCCATTGGGAAGGAACTAGTGGCTGTGAAGCCGCCTAAGGCAGACTTGGTCCTTCCTGCAAGCTCTATCACTTCCTTGCCATATTCTGGAGCCTTGAGCTGGAGACCCCTTTGAGTCCCGGGTCCTTCACCTTTGAAATGTAGATTACAGTGAGACCTGCACGTTGTTGTCATTGTCCAAAGATAAAACAGGGGGCCAGAGAGATGGCTCAATGGTTAAGAGCACTGGCTGCTCTTCCGGAGGACCCAGGTTCGATTCCCAGCACCCACATAGCAGCTCACAACTGTCTGTAACTCCCTCACACAGACATACATGCAGGTAAAATATTAATGCACCAAAAATAAAGTAAAAATCTTTTCTAAAAAAGTAAAAATAAAGTTATATAAAAAAAGAAAAGCAGGGTGACCTATTCATTTAAAGAACTTAGAAAGCACTCAATAAATATTATTAGTGTAATAAACAGAAGTAAATCAATAAACTATGAATCAAATGATCTCTGGGTTCTAATTCTAGCACTAAAAATGGTTTATTTCTCTTCTGATTAAAAAAGAAAGAAAAAAAAAAAAGGCCAGCAACCAAAACAAGCCCAGTCATAAGCCATTAAGCCAATTATAGCTTTTGTGGGGAAATCAGAAAAGCCACTAGACCTATTAATTTGTGTGTCATTAGTCATTCCCCCCTATTGTAGAGCCGATGTTGTCCAGCGTCCTGAGACACCTTGTATAATATAATCACTGTGACTCCAAGAGGTCAAACAGGCATGCTCTTAATGCAGCTTTGTGAAAAGCTCAATAATTCATTTTATAAATTTCAGCTCAAAGCCTACACTGAGGTTAAGAAAAATGGACATTCGATCCGTGAACTTCACGTCAAGCGCTAGAAAAACTCTGGGAAGAACACGCTGGGCGACTCAGCAGATGCAGACAGTACAGACGCTGCCAAATTGTAAAACAAGACTTGGAAATCACGGGGAAAAACGTTGCTAGTTATTGATTACGTTGACCATTCACTTCCTATTGAGCCACCCCAAAAGAATCATTCATTTTCCAGCCGAGCCTGCTCATTTGCAAGATAAAAGAGAGCCAGCTCTGCACATGCCCATAGTGTTCCTCACCACTGGGGGCAGCTTTACATAAGACTGCATTCACTGAAACTGAAGCAACAGTCCCAGCAGCTTTCAGAATGACAGTCTGCAGGAGTGAGCTGAGCGTGTGCGCGGCGGCGGAACCGGGCTCTCCTGCCTTCTGGGCTCCAACGCAGCTCCGTGGCTGAACTGGGTGCTCACCGCCACGGGACCGCCGGGCTATGGAATACAGATGTGGCAGTACAGGTAGCCCCACGTCGCCTAGAGGAATACATCATGGGTTTTGAGAAGAAATTGTAGAAGCCAATTTTTTTTTAACACACACACACACACACACACACACACACACACACACACACACACACACTGTAAAGATGCAAAAACGTAATATCCATGAAGATCCTATTACCTAGGAAGAATCGGATGTTTTGCTGCGAATGCGGTGTTGGGATTTATTTGTTCTTGGAGTGTTCTGCATGGCTGGTAAAGAATAATGTTCCAAAATCGGTCCATCTCCCAAGGGGTCCAATTTTTCTTCCTGGGTGTCAGCGAGCCCTGACTCACTACCCTGCAGCTGACAGGGGCTGTCATGCAGGCGGCCCCTAAGCCAAAGCAAAAGACCTAAGGACGGCCTTTGAACAATACAAAGGATGGGTATGTTTTGTCAATTTTCTTCTTTCCTTCTTAAAAAAAAAAATGGGAAAAAAATCTCCTGAGTCTATGTAATAATTCTGCTTTAATTGTTTTAAAGATTATCTTTCTCTGGTCTAAGACTATCAATTTGATAACCAGCGGACCTATTTCCATGTTTAACTATTAGAAATATACAGCATCCTTATATTACGAAGGTGATATTTGGTGTTAAATGTTTTCTAAATGTTTACATTTCTAAATATGGTCATTGGGGGCTAGTTTTGCTTGATTTTTTAAAAATGCATTCTTTTTTGGGGGGATAACTTTTCTAAGTTGTTTTTATTTCCAGGTTTCAATGTAATTAGGCTACTGCGCGGATCAGCTGTAGCGGTGGTCCTAGCCCCCACTGTCTTTCTGACCATGCTCTCTTCTGCTGAACGAGGATGCCCTAAGGGTTGTAGGTGCGAGGGCAAAATGATATACTGTGAATCTCAGAAACTGCAGGAGATCCCCTCAAGCATATCTGCCGGTTGCTTGGGTTTATCCCTTCGCTACAACAGCCTCCAAAAACTTAAGTATAATCAATTTAAAGGGCTCAATCAGCTCACCTGGCTCTACCTTGACCATAACCATATCAGCAATATTGACGAGAATGCTTTCAATGGGATACGCAGACTCAAGGAGTTGATTCTGAGTTCCAACAGAATCTCTTATTTTCTTAACAACACCTTCAGACCTGTGACCAATTTGCGGAACTTGGATCTGTCCTATAATCAGCTCCATTCTCTGGGATCTGAACAGTTCCGGGGCTTGAGGAAGCTGCTTAGTTTACACCTCCGCTCCAACTCGTTGAGAACCATCCCGGTGCGGATCTTCCAAGACTGTCGCAACCTGGAACTTCTGGACCTGGGGTATAACAGGATCCGAAGTTTAGCCAGGAATGTCTTTGCTGGCATGATCCGACTCAAAGAACTTCACCTGGAGCACAATCAATTTTCCAAGCTCAACCTGGCCCTTTTCCCAAGGTTGGTGAGCCTTCAGAACTTGTACATGCAGTGGAATAAAATCAGTGTTATAGGGCAAACCATGTCCTGGACTTGGAGTTCCTTACAGAGGCTTGACCTGTCTGGTAATGAGATAGAAGCCTTCAGTGGACCTAGTGTCTTCCAGTGCGTCCCCAATCTGCAGCGCCTCAATCTGGATTCCAACAAGCTCACATTTATTGGTCAGGAGATTCTGGATTCTTGGATCTCTCTCAATGACATCAGTCTTGCCGGGAATATATGGGAATGCAGCAGGAATATCTGCTCCCTGGTAAACTGGCTGAAAAGTTTCAAAGGGCTGAGAGAGAATACAATCATCTGCGCCAGTCCCAAAGAGCTGCAGGGGGTAAACGTGATCGACGCGGTGAAGAACTACAGCATCTGTGGTAAAAGCACCACCGAGAGGTTTGACCTGGCCAGGGCGCTCCCCAAGCCCACGTTTAAGCCCAAGCTCCCCAGGCCCAAGCATGAGAGCAAGCCTCCGCTGCCCCCCACGGTGGGAGCCACTGAGCCCAGCCCAGAGACAGATGTGGACACGGAGCACATCTCCTTCCATAAGATCATCGCGGGCAGCGTAGCCCTCTTCCTGTCCGTGCTGGTCATCCTCTTGGTCATGTACGTGTCCTGGAAGCGGTACCCCGCCAGCGTGAAGCAGCTGCAGCAGCGCTCCCTCATGCGAAGGCACCGGAAGAAGAAAAGGCAGTCGCTCAAGCAAATGACTCCCGGCACCCAGGAATTTTATGTCGATTATAAACCCACCAACACGGAGACCAGCGAGATGCTGCTGAACGGAACGGGACCCTGCACCTATAGCAAATCAGGCTCCAGGGAATGTGAGGTATGAACCATTGCGATTTAAACACAAAACAAAACACACACAGAGAAAGAGAGAGAGCGCGCTCTTAAAAGCTGGGAAAATAAGTGGTGCTTTATTGAACTCTGCTGACTATCAAGGGAACACGGTGCCCCTCCCCTCCCCCTCCCCCTCCCTGTGCTGGCAAGGGCCTTCCCTGTCTCTGAGAGTGTGTTCATAATACTGGTCATTTTCCTCCCATAAATAATCAACCCATTGAAATTTAAATACCACAATCAATGCGAAGCGGGAACTCTGGTTTAACACCATGCCTATTGTGTAAGACCCCTTATGGATTTCATTAACATCACACTTGTTTCCAGGAAGAAAAAAAAATTCTTTTCCTGAGTGACCCCCACACCTGCTCTTCTTCTCCACCTGGGAGGGTCAGGCTTCAGCTTTGGGTGATTTGCAGTTCATTGGCAAAGCCAGAGGGGGGGGGGGGGGGGGGGGGGGAAGGAGGAGGAATCCCAGGACCTTGGAGGGTTGACTGAATCTAAGGAGATGACTTGATTATGGCACACTCTGGAGACTGGGGGTGAGAAACAATGCCTGCCTTTCAAAGAAAGTCCCAGAAAACTATCCCAGGGTGGGGGGGTTGGGGGGGGGTGGGGTGGGGGGTTAGAGCAGGTCCCTGAACAGTTTCCAGGGTTTCGGAAATCACAGGGCACGCAGACAGACAAGTGTTAAAGGGCTGACGCAGATGACTGCAGAAGATGAGGAGACAGTGGAAACACCAAGTTTGAGACATGCAGTCTTATCTTACATCCCCATCCCTGTAAAATCCAACGGAACGGTTCACTATCAATTCCCTTCCAGCCCGTGTGTTCCCTAAACATGTTGATTCGTTACACAACCACACCGTTAGATAGGCCCATCCGAGGAAGCAGACTGTCCGCTGGAAGTGAGGGAGTTCAGAGACAAGGCTGGCTGGTGGAAAGCACCTTCTCACACACACGCGTGTGTGGCTGGGACCTTCCCAGGATAGGTCTCTTTGCAGCTTATTTTCCAAGACCCCAGGGGTAGTTAATAGCATCCTGAGCTCTGGGCTGTCCTGGTCAGGGTTTGTGAGGCTGTCCTGTAGTGTCCTGTGATGTGTTCTCCACACACCAGACCCCTAATGACTGACACTTCGTTCAGATGTCTGAACGTGCTTCTCCAACGGCATCCCCGGGAAGGATGCATAAAGTCAACCCTGGAGGGGAAATGGACTGACACGGTGACAGTTCGCCTTTGGTTTGCTGCTGTTGACATCACAGTGTCCCTGTGCTCATCTGTAATGTAACTCATCCATCAGTGCAATTCTGTACAGAACCTGTTTGGCAGCCTGCAAGCTGCATGCATGTTTTTATGTCATTGGTGAAAGTGTGTTGACTGCAGCACGGATACCACGCCCTCTGTGTTTGTGAGGTTTGGGGAAAATACGTTTATTCTGTCACCCCCTTTTGTCCTCTCTCTCAGAGGAATAGTTTTAGTCTGGGAGCAGACCATAATGATTTTCACATTAAGGATGGTTCATCTTATGACTGGCCAGGCCTTACATCTTTGACTACATCCATCTTCTTTCAAAAGAGTTGCTGAATAATAATAATAATAATAACAATGGCAAAGAAAAAGTGAATGGCTATTTCTTACTAGCATTTTTATAGAGTATGGAGGTCTTCCATAGGCTGTGACGGAAAGTCTAGACAAGTCAACATGAAATATAACAGCAAGGAATCCAGATTATTAAAGCCATATTTCTATTAGCAATAAGGAAAAGCAACGTTTTGAGTGGATGTCTCAAGGTACTTTGAGGAGACCCAGGTGCCAGCTCAGAAAAGCATCATGAGTACCTGTTTACCCATGACTAACCATTGAGTACACATTTGTTAATGACAAATGGGCACAGAGTCCCAGTGGATTACTAATGCAGATACATCTTACAGTACTGTGAGCTGGGGGAGCAAACTGAGATGGTTTTCATTGAAATTGTAATTTTACATTTTTCTATACTGTCAGTGAATACATATTCCATCTAAATTTTTTCCTTTGGTCAGCCTCATTTTCATCTGTACTATGAAGATGACTGTAATAATTAAATGCACTGTTGAAGTGAAAAAAAAAAGCCCATTTCTATTCTTTTACTCGACCCTCTGCTTTATTTATCATGGGAAACAAATACGTCTATTCAAGGCAAACTGATGGCTGTATATATATATATATCTTTTTAAATTTTCTCAAATTATGAATGCTGTGATGCCACTAAGATAGACAAAACAGGTTTGCTGCATCAAAAAGTATATCTGAGACTCAAAACCACTTGGTATGTGAAATTGATGTAAATGAATGAGCAACATCTAGAAGGCTGTTCATTTTTAATGCCTCACTCTACCTGGAGATGTACTGACTGATTAAAAAAAAAAAAAGCAAATTAAAGACCTTAGAAATGACAAAACACGTTTTGATTCAGGGCATGAAATTACAAGGGGAAAAGTTTTAAACACGTCTCTCCTTTGTGAAGGACTCTTTCCAACTGTCACATGCTCTAAGAACCAATCTGTGGCTCCCATGGCTAGAGAGTTCTTCCTTCACCATGTGGCACATGACAAGGCCAGCTGGCGAGCCAGTCAGAAGTTGCTGTCCTTGTGTCTGCCCGTGGCACGTCCACACCGTATACCGAGGATCTATTTCTATAAGTATTTAAAATGTACTTCATATTGGAGAAGAATCCTTGCTATTCATTTTTTTTTTTTTTCTATTGCGAGTTTACATGAACTATCGTCCCATTTCTGGAGCTGCTCCGTGGAGACCCACGGATGCGGAAGCGGGTCTCAGTACCTTTAATGCTCTCTCAAAACAGAGAGCACATGGAGTTTAGTCTTTTGCACTGGATGTTTGTGGTTTGTGATTCGTGTTTGTTTTTCATTTGTTTATTAACCTCACCACGCAAGATGTGGAGGCAGCAGAGGCAATGCCCTGAGTCAGGGACTTAAGCAATGTTATGCAAGATATATTCATTTTAAATGACTTTGTACCTTCCAAAGATGTTAACATGACATCTCCCCAAAGATTTTCAACCATTTTTTTAACTTGGTTTGGTGAGTCAACTACCTAAGTAGACGTTGGCAATGCTGATTTCTATAGAGTAGCACTGACCTCTAGTGGCTGATTCAAGTAACCACAGCTGTTCAAACATTTTTAGCTTTTTTTTTTTTTTTTTTTTTTTTCCTTCTCTTTCTTTTGTGAACTTATTGGCCCCATAGGTTTCTCTGCTCTGTGTATGATACTTAACGTTAGCTTTCTTGTGAAGTATAATTATTATCCATGTTATCAGAATTATGTGTGCTTACTTATTTTCTCAGCGATAATAGAAAGAGAAGCCATAAAACTGGTATTGAGAGATAGAAGTAAATGCCCAAAGACACAAGGCAAGCAGTAATGCAATAAAAATAGATAAATGCTTTAAGCATCTGTACTCATCAGTATTATCCAAAATAGTCTGTAGTATTTTCTTTTAATGTGTTATTATTTTTCACGGTCAGGATTCGGAAATGTAGTGTAACTTAGGCTGGGAAGCAGATGCCCGTATTGATATTGAGAGAATCAGGGTCGATTCTTGCTGGTCAGTAGATGTGTGAGGCTATCCGGAGAGAGCGAGGCCTCCTCTTCAGCATGAGAACTGCTCTCCAGTTTGTTGATCATGTCAGTGACCTGTGCTTCGCCCCCCGGGGCTTTCTCCCTCCTTCCTCCTCTGCAGCCAGCTAAACAGTGGTGCTATTAGGCTCTCTGACAAGGATGGTACAGTCTAAGAGGCGATGATTCATGGATAATGAAATTATGCTCTCCTTCTGGGGAAGAAGAATGCAGCGTCACATTCACAGCTTTGGCAAGGGATGTTGGGATGCTGTAGGTGCACGGAGTGTCTCTTCCTTTGACATTTACCAATATGAGAACACAATTTGCTTATTTAAAATGTGGATTAGGCGAGCATCGGATAGGAGCGCTAGCCCTAAGTGGAAGGCAGAATGAGCTCCATACACAACAAATGAGAACTGAGCCATGATAAATGAAAATTTCAAAAGCCAAGGGGTCTCTCTCTCTCTCTCTCTCTCTCTCTCTCTCTCTCTCTCTCTCTCTCTCTCTCTCTCTCTCTCTCTCTCTCCCCCCCCCCCCCAGGATTCTCATTAGAATCCAGATCTAGCACCTCACTATCCTTGTATTCTCTTTGCTACACATGCTGAAAATGAGGGGTATTTAGCAAAAACCATGTGCAAGAAAAATACTATCAGCAAATTTGAATAACAAACATCATAAGAGAAACAGAATACATGTGTATTACATAGTGTGTGGTAAATGGCTCTTAAATACTAATCAAACACCATCACCCTATACAGACAAGTAAAAGTCACTGTGTCCTTAGCCACAGTAGTCCAACGAACTGGACCTGACTTTTACTTAGCCTCCAAGATCGTAAGTGATTTTGATAAGTGGGTAGACTATAATAAAAATACTACAAACAAAGGAAACCAAAAGTAAATTGTATTTCATGTGAGGAAAAATATCACAGTTGTGCATGGCAGAATAGAGAGCCTAGAAATTAAGACCCAATTCCATTTTCTCTAACCCTTGCTGTATCAACTCAGGTACATTTCTCAGCTTTTTAAAATTGGAAGATGCCCACGCATGGACTAGTTTGCACTAATGACTGCTCATGGTTTATGGAAAAGTGAATGTTCTCTTTTTTCAAATGATCCCTGTTTATTTGTGTGTCTGTCTGTCTGTTTGTTTGTTTTTGAAATGTCACTTTGTGAGCTGTTCCATTGTGTTTGCTACTGTTCTGTGATTGATGCAGGTCAAAAAGTGAAATCACTTGGCATCAAGGAATCTACAAATTTCACCTTTTGACTCCCACCAGGATTAAGATTCTTCATCTTGAATTGTCTTACGTCCATCTCAGGGAATAAGAGAAAAGCTAAGATTTCTATCAATAATCATACGCATGT